GGATAAGTTACGGAATAGGAATACATAATTATAAATTCAAAATATTGATAGAAATGTAAATAAAAAGTGTGGCATAAGTATAGAACAATCATCGGAGGTTTGCATAATCACATACAATCGGCCTGATCAGCTGAGAGTTTGGAAAACCTAATAACCGATTATTTTTTTAAATCAGTCTGGATTCGATAAAAACCGGAATGAGTTCTAACTATTGTTATTGAGCGAAATGAGCATTTATTTAAGAATTGTATAGGAATATTGTCTATTATCTCGATCATGTACATATGTATGTGAGCCGTGTACGTGAAAGTAATGGTACAATTAAATAATGAATAATATGAGCTGAAATGCTATTAATGTAAAGAAGTGAATGAAATGTGTTAATCATTGTTTTGATCATGTATGTACGCGAGCCGTGTACGTGAAAGAAATGGCACAATTATTTAATAAAGAATTGCTAAAATGTCGAAAAGTAAAATAAATACTTAATGGTTAACCAAATATAAGAAAAAAATTACGTTAAAGAATGAAATCACCAAAATAACCTTAATGAGGCTGCTGATGTGGCCCTAAATCGGTATCTTTCTGCACAACTGGTCTTTCTGGAGGACTTTAACGCCTGTCACCAAGACTGGCCGGTCCCATAGCAGAAGTCCGAGCATGCTGGAAGAGAAGCGTGGAATTTTGCCTTGACGCTAGGTCTTTCTCAGTTGGTAAAAGAAGCGACTAGGGTACCCGATGTGGACAGTCACACAGCCAATTGCTTGGACCTTCTGCTGGCTACTGAACCAGACAGTGGCCTCTTTGGCGGGTGGTCTGTTTCTCTAGGGGATAAAATACTCCATAGCTTGACGCAACACAACGGTTGCGTTGTGTTGCGTCAAGCTATGGAGTATTTTATCCCCTTCTCTGACGCTCCTACCGGTAGCAAATCTCGCCCATGGTTTAACGCTGAATGCACCCAAACTGAAAAGCGCAATCATTTAGCGTACCTATCTTGGGTTGACGTTCAAAACCGCAAAGCTCCGGATATTATCTCCAAGAAGAGAACTTTCAACCAGGCCGCCAAGTCCTACAAAAAAGCATTACGGAAAGCTAGTCTCGATCGTGTTAAACATATTGGCGTAAAACTCTCTGCTAAACCATTCGGCACTAGAGCTTTTTGGTCTCTCGCCAAAGTGGTCGAGATAAAATTTTGTCGGCCTACACTGCCTCCGCTGGTAAAACCGGATGGTACACTGGGGCATACAGCTAAAAAGAAAGCGGACTTGTTCGCGTCTCTCTTTGCCTACAATTCACGTCTAGACAGTGGCAAAAACGTTCCACCTAAATTACCTCACTGCGGGACCTCTATGTCCGAGGTCCGTATTACAAATAAGGAGGTTCTTAAAACCTTGTGGCGTCTAGACGTGTATAAATCTAGTGGACCAGATGGTATACCAGCAATAGTTCTAAAGGCTTGTGCACCTGACTTGTCTCCTGTGCTGACACGCTTGTTCCGCCTCTCATTTAGGACTGGAATAGTGCCAAAATCCTGGAAGCTGGCCAATGTGGAGCCTGTTCCAAAAAAGGCAGCCGTGCCGACCCTGCCAATTATCGGCCAATCTCAATTACCTCCATACTCTGCAAGATTATGGAGCGTATATTGAACGTCCGCTTAATGGCATACCTAGAACAGAATGACCTCCTTAGTGACCGCCAATACGGGTTTCGCCGAAATCGGTCAGCCGTGGACCTTCTAGCGTATGCCACACACGTATGTGGCGAGGCACTCGAGAACAGTGGGGAAGCACTTGCTGTTTCCCTAGATGTCTCGATGGCCACAGAGTCTGGCACACTAGCCTTTTGGGTAAGCTTCCAGCGTACGGTTTATCCCCTGGTCTAATTGATTGGGTAAAGGACTTTCTGAGTGAACGGTCTCTTCGGGTCGTCGTCGATGGCTGCTCATCCGATCCTGTTGCGACTAACACCGGTGTTCCTCAGGCGTCCGTCCTCTCCGCAACTCTCTTCCTGCAGCATATTAATGATCTGTTTATGCCCGGTATCTATAGGTATTGTTTATGCCCGGTATCTATGGGTATGCAGACGATAGCACAGTTATGGAGAGATACCAACCAAGTCCTCGAGCCAGTAGGGCTCAATTCCAGTCCGAAAGAGAAACTAAGGTAGAGCGCGTGAATCTCATACTACAGGCAGTATCCGAATGGGCGATGCCAATCTTGTGAAATTCAACACATCCAAAACACAAGTGTATCTCTTCACTGCAAAAATGAGGCAGCTCACCTTGGCTCCTTCTTTCCGAAATGTATCACTGGAGTACACTGACCGCCTTCAGTTGTTGCGGGTTGAGATATCCTCAAATATGAACTTCGAGCGGTTCATTGAGTCCAAAGCCAAAGCAGCTGCAAGGAAGCTAGGAGTCCTTGCAAAGGTGCGACGATACTTCACGCCGGGACAGCTGCTTACTTTATATAAAGCGCAAGTCCGGTCGTGCATGGATTATTGCTGCCATATATGGGCTGGTGCTGCAAAATGCCACCTAGCAGCTTTGGACTCAATGGAAAGATGTGCTAAGAGGCTTATTAGTGACCAGAATTCGGTTAAAACCTTTCAGTTCTACAGAATGCATTTCGGAGAGAGTTCACATTTAATTCCTATCCATTAATTCCTATATAATATAATCCATATAGTTTCACATAGATATTCATTAATTACCTTTATATACATTTTAAGGCTTGATTAAAAAAAAGATTATTTTATTTATATTATTTTAAATTAATCATATTAAGATAGAATTGAGGGCTTAAAATAAAATAAAAAAATTATATGAGTTATATATAATATAATTAATAGTTACATTATAAAAGTGATGAGTAGTTTTAAGAGAGTATTTAGTACTATATAGAATCAATTGCTTAAAATTTAAAATTCAACATAATTTTTTTTACAGGCCAATCTCGTAGGTATTATATAAAATTTTGGGCTAAAGATCATTATAATAACAACATTTACAGCAGAAAATATGTCTTATCTGCTAATTGACATGACTTCATTGAGGCTATAGCCATGCTGTGTAGTGTAACATACATTGGTCACTAAACATTAACATTTTTAGTTAATAGTACAACAGTTATCTACTGTGACACACATCCTGATTTCTTTATCATATCTAGGACAAACTAGTCCCACACTAACAGCAAATATTTCGATGATATTGATGCACAAATACTGTCTATAATCATATCTTATTTATTTATTCTTCTTTTTTCTTAAATACATATTTGCAGTACACTAGCTTATTTTTATTTGAAATATATTGTTCCATACTGGTGGAAACAAAATTTTAAAACATAATAATGACCAATGTACAGAATTTAATCTTGTCTAACAATTTAACTATATATATTTTATTACTAACACAATATAGACGCTGCATTGATGAGGTACAGTTACCGAGCGGATGTAACATGAAGACTATTCAACCGACATCAAAAAGGAGGAGAGGTTTACAATTCGTATATTCGTATACAGTCGAATCTTTTTTTTTTATGGGATAGGGTGACAAATGAGCACACAGTCCACCTGATGGTAAGTAGTTGCTGTGGCCCATAGACATCTACATTTATCCTCATTTGCGAATCAAAATGCAGATGCGACGTCACTAAGACTAAGATAGAATACCTCTTTTCCAGTAAAATGGGTCTCTGGTTCTCTACACTCACCATACGATACATAGCAGCATGAAGCTGGTATTCTGTGAGAGCGTGGTCCTTCCCCGGTCGAGCCGACCCATTCGTGCTACAACTATACTACTAATATAGCTGCAGCATGGCTCTACCACGTTAAAAACCACATTTTTATGTATGTACACCGATTACTCGAAGATGCCCAAGCCGATTTGGAAAACTCTTTTTTTGTTTCAATGTGTATACTTCCCAGGGGGTCCCATTTAAATTTTATCGAAATTGGTCAAGCGGTTTTAAAAAAATCAATTATATTATATTTATATTGAAGTCGGTTGTACAAAATTTTTAATTTTACTACTTGTTTAAAGTTTAATATTTCGAAGATGCCAATTATGGATGAGTAATGAATGATTCATCCATGCAACATTTTTTAATTTATATAATACAAAAGTAATTGATACAGCTAATCTGTTGTTTGCATTATCCACTACACCGTATCATCCAGTGGGTGTTATAAGAGATGACAAAGGGAAACTGATATAGGAAATGGGCGGCTGCATCTTCCTATAACAATTGAAAAGATTAAAAAACTGCGGTTGCCAAACGGCCTGCCAATTGAAATATTTCTTTTTTTATATAAAATACACCTGTTGAATTTTTAAATGAAATGGCACAATAAATATATACAAAAACAGTTTCTAAAAATGTTTATTTATACCAATTATTATTGAGATATGCAGTCTTAAGAGTTTAAAAATTATATTTATGTGTAAATTAGTTATAAAATTGAAATCTTTTGGCAAGAAATTTTACATTATATGTTGTTTAGAGTAGATTGAGTTGATAGTTTGAAGATACACTAATATAGATGAAATAAATGCATGATAACATGTAAATTATTGATAGCTTTGAAATCACTATAGTGAAATTGAATGAAAGCTATATTTCTTACGAACAGATGACGATGACGTTTGTGCAATTGATTAATCAGTATAATACCTAAACAAAACACCAGGACGCAAGTGATTGCACCACGTTAGATAAAATAAGTACATTATATTAACTAAATACAATAATGTGGCACTGACCCGCGTTCCATTTACAAATACCCATTGCAAATTTATAATATTTCAGTGCATTTGTTTACGTGCATTCGCCCGCCATTGTAGCGACCACTTGTCAATGTCATTCGGAACTGAACGTAAATAAACAAGTAATAATTTACGATTTTTTTTATAAATGTAAAGTTAAAAACAGTGTTTAAATTTTAAACTATTTTGGATACTATAGTTATATTCAGTGCAATTTTTTGAAATGTCTGAAAATGTACGTTCGTATCAAGAACTAACCTGTAAACCTTTAGACACATACGAAGAAATATTAGGATTCTTACAAGATCCTCCTTCATGGAGAACTTTATGCACAGAATTAAGACCACACAGCGACCAAGCAATAAGGAATAAAGACATTAACAAAGATTTTGGAGAAACATTTTTGGAAACGCCGCAAACGTTTTGTCATTACAAGTCGGAAACGGAAGTAAAATTAATTAAACGTCATGAAATAAAAAAGTTACCGAAAACTCTGGTATGTCACGATTTGGCCAATGGGTATCATGATGACAGGTAAGTTAATTTTGATTTTAATTTAAAAAGTGTTAATCACGTTAAAAATAATAATTTATATCTAGAATGTTCATATTTTTCGTATTTTTAATTTTGTTTGGCTTGCGATCCTATACTATTTCTTGATAATTTGAATATTATGTCTGTATCTGTCCACAAACCAAAGAGATTTAAATATATAGGTATACTTCTTCTAAGTCTATGCCCTGAAAGTTAGCAACCCTTCCCCTTTTAATATGGAGAACCGTACACTTATCCGTCCCCAGCTCCATTCTAATAGAATTACTAAAATCACAAGTAATGTTTAGCAATTCCATAAGATGGGAGCGACTGGAGGCGAATAATTTTAGATCATCCATATACAAAAGGTGGGTCACTTTTGTCCCTCCTTTCGGACCATTCCTTCCTTCCTTTGTACATCTCAAGTACCCTCTTAAGCCATGTATGAGGCACCGAGTCGAATCCCTTTTTGTAGTCTATCCAGGCGGCGGAGAGGTTCCGACGGTTGCGTTTAACCACCTTGCCAATGACCGCATCAATGAGAAGTGGTTCCTTGGTTCCACGACCACCGCCCCGACATCCATTTTGAACGCGCGATATCACCTGATTTGAGTTTAGGTGACGAGTGATTCTCGTGCTTAAAATGGATGTTAGTGTCTTGTATATGGTAGGTAGACACGTTATGGGGCGGTATTTGCTCGGGTCTGTGGAATCCCGGTCTTTAGGAACCAAATAAGTGATCCCAGTAGTGAAGAGGCTCGGGAGTGACTTTTGGTCGAAAGCCTCTTGAAACTGTCGGGCGAGCACAACGTGACACACACACCACGAACGCCTTCAGCCAGTAGTGATGCAGTCCGTCGAGTCCCGGACTTTTCCAGTTGGGGACCTTACGCTTCGGCTACGTCATCCGGTGTTATGATGACGGGGTCCATGGGCGTAACATTCGCACACTGACTCGCCACAACTTCCGTCGAAGGGCCCTCGCTGTGGTTTACGGGCTTTGACCACAGGCCGCGCCGGAATGCGGTAGTGTTGGCCTGATGCGGTGCTGGGCCCGTTCCACGTACCAATGGCCGCTCCAACTTCTAATAACTCTGGAAGAGACGATTTTGGTTGAACCGTGTCGACCTCTCGGTATATCGCCCAATCCGCTTCCCCCAAGCAGCGATTCTCTGCTTGGGGGAAGCGGATTCGGCGGAAGGTCGTCTATGCGCTCCATCAGTTTTTGCATTATATCCGGCTGGGACATACTGATATTTGTCCCAGCAAACGCCATCCTGACGGTGCGCACAATACTTGGCCTATTATAGCCCGACCTGAAGCTTATCAGTCTGCCGATGAGGGCCCTTGCCTTTGCGATGCGGTCCTCAATCCTTCTTCTCCAGACTGGGATAGCGCTACTTTGCCTAGTAGTCCAGCCGTGGGACGTTTGGCGTCAATAATACGGTAAACTGCCAGTGCGGCGTAAAAAATAATTGAGTCCGACTTGCATGCATTTTTCATGGGAAACTTTATTCGATAAAGAATATGTAACAGAAGTTATTTTTTAAATAGATCCATATTAAAATAATGTAATAAACAAAGTAAAATTACTATATAATAAGCGGCGTTTCGCGCGCTCCTCAAACTCAAACCCGCTACCCGCTCGTCATCGTAGGGCTTTAATATAGAAAAATCCCCAAAATTTACACGCACTTCGAGTGATCGCAAAAGTATTGTCTAGTATACGCCAACTGGCTTATTTTGAGCCCGTGTTTTTTCAGTAGTTATTTAAAAACATGGAAAGTTTAATAACTATAAAATTTTGTCACAATTCAATGGTCATGAAAAGATAAAAAAATAAGGGTTGTTTATTAACAACCGATAAAAAAATGCCCATGTTAATTAAGGTTTTTATATTTTAGAAGGTTATTGCAGAGGTAATCAATCCACATACAATTTACAAGTATTATTTTATTTAAATTCAATTTGATTATTTTATATTGAGTTTTCTGAAGTAAAAATATTTCTATACCTTTAAATACTGATTCTGATAACGCACTTAACGAGAACCACAGAGTTATTTTTACATATTTTATTTTGTCGGCATAAATGAAAAGCCCATAACATTAGAAGACAGGCTAACTGACTAGATAACTTCTATGTTATAAATATTAGTTATCAATCTAAATTTAACTACTGCAATAATAATCTCGGCGTAAGATATTACTAAAATAACCTCAACGTCATCGTAATCGGATGATAACCTCAACAAAGAACCCGACGAGTTAATCAGGACAGGACTATTTCAGAAAGTCTGAACTGATATCACAATGGGTGGACCACAGAGGGTAACCTTATCTGAACACTGATCAACAATTCACTCAAGGTCCAGATCATAGATACTCACTACACCGGTTGAGTAGAGTCCTAAAACAAGACTGTTTGCTTAGTGAGTTTCCGAGTGGTTCATAAGCTTACATTATTAATTTGATTTTTTATTCTGTTAACTTTCTTTGTGTTTTCCCATATTATCTACCTGAAATTGATATTAAAATAAATTACTATTTTATTACGTACATTAATATCTGATAATTACAAAAAATAATACATAATAAAATTCAGTTAGTCTACTTACTCGAAGAATACAAATAATTTTAGTAGTCGTGTCCGACAATCACGACCCTTATGCTATGCCAAACAATAGATGTATCGACTCGAGTCGTCAAATCGGGCTACGAACGGAGGTGCAATCACCTCAAAAATTGAGGTGGCACCACAAACTAACTAGTAGATTCTACACAGACTAACTGTAGATTCTACCCGAATGGTGGCACTGAATTTTTTTCACGCGTGTTCTCTAATATAAAGCCAATTACAGAAACCTAACCACTTCATACTAAAATGTATGAAAAGCGGGGAACGATTTCTGCTAAAAATTAAATGATACTTAGGCTTGAATTATTGCTTTTTGGTTTGAATTAGTAAAATAATGAATGGTGAATGTGTTATCTATACTTTTATCTCACGTTTTAACCAAAAATGTTTTCTAAAATAATAAGGAAATAGCCTGAAGATTTAAAATAGAAAAGGCCGTTTTAAGTGTTTTTACCACATTGTTGACGATTTTTTTTTCTTTCTTAATTAAGATTGTTTTTAATAAATATCACGCGGTGAAAGTGAAGATTCATCTATTAAATAATTGAGATTTTTTTTGGGGTGTCATTCAATGAAGTCAGTTCTTAAATATTTTTAAAACTGTAACTGATTATTTGCTCGTTTCTTAAGAAACGGCCTCTTAATTTGAAACATCGGTTGTTGTGTCAGGTTTAAAATTATTAAGCTTCGCCATTTAAAAACTTTTTTGTTCCAAAATTACCTTTTTTTTAAATTCCTTCATACTTCATCAATTCATCATATAGGGCATTTATCATCCACAAATTTTGATCTGATATATCTTACCGATCACTATCTTATTTAATGTATTAAATTAAATTAAATTAAAGATAAAAAAGTGTCTGTTTGTAATATTGAAATAACTGGCTTTTATTGAGCTCAGGGGTTAAAGTTACAGCCTGTATACGTCCCACTGCTGGGCACAGGCCTCCTCTCATTTCTGTGAAGGTTTTCGGTAAGGAAGAATCTGCCGCGCTGCTCCGAAGCGTGTTGGCGAACTTCACATATGCCGTCGGAATACTTTTTTTCTTATTTCTCAGACATGCGAGTTTCCTCACGATGTTATCCTTCATCGTCGAGCACATGGTAACTCAGCACTTAAAATTTCAATTAACAATTTTATTGGTGCCGGCCTGTCTTAATAGCACAGATGGTTACAGCTGAGCTATTAAGAGGTACACAAATCTAAATTCTAAGTCTTAAATCTAAATGACGCCACATTAAGAGATACTAACCAGGCGAATCGGGGCGGGTCGCTAGTTTAAGTAAATTATATGCGTGTTATATAAAATCACTTTGAAAACCTAAACAGGACCTAAACTAAAAGCGTCAAAGGTCGATTTTTCTTACATCTGCAAAGCAATAGGTAAAATATGATTGAGCAGAACACAATAAGTGTTTAAGTAATGTTGGAATACTTTTCCAGTATTATTGATGGAACAAATAATCACGAGGCATATACATTTTACAATTGGGGTGGTATTGATATATTTTGCTACTTTAGCCACCATTTGGTGACGATTCCCCCGCTTGGATGGATCAATGTGGGACATGCTCATGGTGTTAAAGTGATTGGTATGTTTAATTTTTTTTAAATGTTTTTTATTTTTTTAAGTATGAGTGAAAAATGAGCACACAATTACGTTTGATTATATGGTCACTATGGTTTTATACTAAGTTTATATTACACTCAGTCATTGTTTTGTGTATTAATATAATACTCTGGAATCTGATAAACTTTTGTCTAAAACCTATTTCTCTATTAAATGACATTGTGTAATAAAAAAAAAACTTAACCTCAATGTAAACTAGCGACATCTGGTGAGCGTAGGAATATTAGTCCTCATTGCTGGTTATATATACAAAGAAATAAAATTGAAGTGTCTGTTTGTAATGTTGATATAACAGTAACTTTTTACTGTATGCATATGAATGTATATACGGTACTTATAACAAAAACACGATTTTTTAAATTTTTGTCTGTCTGTCTGTCTGTTTGTTACGGCTAATCTCCGAAAGTGCTGGACCGATTTTAACCGGACTTTCATTAGCAGATAGCTGATTTTATAAGAAGTAACTTAGGCTACTTTTATTTTAGAAAAATAATAATACTTCCGCGCAAAGAATTAAAACCCATGAAATCCAATCGTAATAAATTACGCGCGGGCGAAGTCGCGGGGAACAGCTATGTTACACATAATATCTCCCCAAGAATGAGTCAAAAGATATTTTTTTATTAGTTGGTTAAGTTAGTGGGCGCAACGCTACTTTGTTTCTTTCTATCACTAGTCCGGCAATGTTGGTTCCAAATATTTGGATCTTACCGCGTCCGAACCTCGTTTATAAGTTAGCAGGGTGCACTGTATATTTGTAAGATAAGTTAATATTTTCTTTTGCAGTATGAGAGAGACTTTTGATAATACCCTGAGTAATATGCTACAATTATATGAAAGTTTAGATGGTCATGTTCCGCTTTGCGGTCTTCGTACTCATACTATTTCTTTTGTTTGTTTTGTTGCCACAGGAACCCTTATAACGGAATGGAGTGAAGGGGCGGCTTTTTGGGAGAATATTTTGGAGTCCGACATTGAAATCCAGAATTTCGCGAGTGCGCTCGTGGCTATTGCGAAAACTCTCAAGTTTGACGGATGGTTACTAAACGTCGAGAATAAGGTCTGGCCAAGTATATACTTATAATAAAAGAATAATTAAGAGTATGTTATTATTATGCGCTTTTAAACATATCGGCGATACCGATACCGATACCGATACACTTATTGTAAATAAAACACAAGTCAGGTTATTTTTTTAATTAATATAAAAACAATAAATAACAGGATAAACTAAATAAAACCGTGTAAAACCTATAGATAGGTTGAGATTAATTTTAGTAATTAAAATTAACATTGATAAGATATTTGTTTAAAAACAAAGTTTTCTTAAGTTTTGCGGAAAAAGGCGATTTCGCAAATCTGTTTGAATAAGACCTGCGGTGGAAAATAGTCTCTCAGATGCGACAGAACTTATTTGGAAACTAAAAGTACCTCTGCGCCGCTTTTTTCAAGTTTGGGTATAAGGCGTCATTGCGCCAGAAAACGAATGGACCTGCGCCTCTCGATATATTAGGAGACGTTAAGTATCTCTCGACTTCTTCTTTGAGAGAATTACAGCTCAGAGTAGACAGGGCTCATCTTCCTCGGACTCTATAATAATACTTTCACAAACGCTCCAAAGCCCACCACTCGCAGGCTTACACAGTTACAGTACTAGATATGTGACCGTGTCTGAAATAGTTTCGGAATGCAGTGCTACATTAACATCAAGTAACTGAACAAGACGCCTTTTACCATAGTAATAGTACTGTGATTGAAATATTCGTTCGAAATAAGCATTGTGGCTAAACAAAATATTGCATAAAGCGAAGGGGTTTTCTTGAGCATAGTTAGTTCGTGCATCGTTTGCAATGAAATAGACGAGACAACACCCACGTTTACATTACATTTCTAAAGCATGAAATTTGAAAAGTATCGTTGAATCGTCTATAAAAATATCGCTGATGCCGATATTTCGACAACCTTCGAGTAACGCCGATATATCGGCATCGGTATCGGTATCGGACATTATACGGATGTTATTTTTCATACACATTCTTTTACAGTTTTTTTTTAAATATTTTATGAAAATTGCATACTTAAAAGACTTTTAATTGTATTGCAATCATAATATATTTTTTTAATGTTTACAAATATTATAATCTTAACACAGATCACAAAACCCTCGAAACTGATCGAGTTTGTGCGACTGCTGCACTCGGTGCTGCATCAAGAGCTGGTGGATCCGGTGCTTATCTGGTACGATAGTGTAACCGTAGACGGCCATCTCAATTGGCAGAACGGTCTCAATAACAAAAACAGGTTAGTGTACAGCATAGAGTAGAGTAAATACACGAGGCGAAAAGTTTCCTTTGCACAAAATTCAAAACATAATAAGCATTGTTAAAGTATTATATAAATAATGCATAGTTATTATATAACTATTGTTACGAGCTTGGGGTTCGAGACAATTAAAAACTGCCGATTGAATTACCAAAATTGACACTTTAGTTACACAACACTAATTACAACTTAAAACCACACTAATAATAAAACACAATTGTACTACTGATCACTTTAAGCGTCTCGTGGTGCCCGAGCCTCACAGCAGCTCTGACTTCAAGGTCGCGGATGCTGTTGATGAATGTCTGCACCAAGTTTCCTAAAATGAGTACAGGTACAGACTGGTATGCTTCTCCACCTCAAGGGCCCACTGCTGCAGGTTTTCGTTGCTGCGTTGCACGCGATCCTTGAGCTGCGCACGAAAGACGTGTTCCAAGAGAGCGTCGCCATATCTCGCCTCTAACACCTCAAGGAGCTGCTCGTAAGTCACTTCCTTACCGAGAGCTTCCAGAACAGTTAAGGCCTGGTCACGCAGGCCTAGGGTGAGAGCAGTCATGGCCTGACTTTTATTCCAGCCGTTCGCTTTCATGACAGTCTCGAATTGGATTTTGTAGGCCGACCAGGAAGAAGTCCCGTCGAACGGCGGCACTTTGAATCCGCGTAGCGAAGGTGTTGTAGCTACCACGGGAGCTGTAAATCCATACCCAAGTTTGAGGTCGTCCAGCGTTTTCTTCACGTCAGCCATCACGTTGTCAACCCGATTGTACACTTGGGCGATTCGGGTTTCAGCTTCCGACAGGCGGTTATCATGTTGAGCAACCCTATCCTTCACCTCTCTTATCTCTTTCCCGAAAGCAGCGTGAAGGTCCTTCCTGAGGAGCATCTGTTCTTCCATACCGCGCTGCAGGTGCTCTTCCAACCGACGGGCCCGTTCCTCCTGTCGTGGGCCTGCTCCTGCAGCATCATCATCAGAGCACCTAAGTCAGGTGCTGCAGATGCAGGAGCTGCTGACAGGCCGCCTCCGTGGTCGGCAGTTGGCCCTCCAACGTTTGCGACGTTGCGCCACCAAATCGTCTCTGGTCCGTCTCCTGTTGGCATTCACTTCCGGTACGGATACCCACCGTGTCGTCTTTAGGTAAAATCGGCATATTTGATCCCACTTCTGACACCAATTGTTACGAGCTTGGGGTTTACTTTAGTTCGCAGTTATTTCGCTTCGAAGTATTCGCTTGTATCGCCAATTCAATACTGACTCGGTCGTGGTCTATACCGGCCTTATATAGGGCCTCAGATAGTTTCCAGAACATTCTACTGTAGACACATCTAGAATGTTCGAATACATATCGGTCCCGAAATTTCTAGAAGGATCTCGACTCTCCTAGTTCTGCTACTCGATACTAGAGGGCGCTAGTGGTAACTAGTGTTGCCATGTACAAGACATTAATAGTGGCGCGCAACACTATTATAACTGTTTTGTCACTGAATTACTCATAAACAGATGGACCGATTTCGATTAAATTTTGTGTGTTTGTTTGAGAGGGTCCGTGGATAGTTTAGAATTGAAATTGGACTCGGTAGGTGTCGGTGTTGCCAAGATTCAGAAATCACCCGTGAGTAGCCGGGGGCCGGGGCGGAACGCTTGTTAACTTATAAAATGAAACGCTTCTCTGAATGCACTTCAAGTAGGTGCTACATAATGCCTTTTGTGAGCTTTATATTAATATTATACCTCGCCGTTTAGGATGTCACAAGTGAACAGACAATCGAATATACATACAAAAAATATGCCCAGCTCATCCTGTTGGGCACAGGTTTCCTCTCTTTACAGATACGATTTTAGGATAAGGAAAAGTCTAGATGTAGTGGCAGACTAGATATAGTCAATAACAGTAATAATAGTAAACCATCATACTATCACTATAGGCTTCTTCTGACTAATCTTTCCTTTCGGGCACTGTTTAGATTGGGCACTTGGATCTAACCATTGAAGGAATGCTTGCGATTGTCGCAAAGGACCAATCCACTTCTCATCGCATGTAACAATTCGGTTAAAAATTTCCTCCTTTCTATAGCTATTCAGCATTATGATTGAAACTTGGACACGAACCTCTCGCTGTGCGTACTGTACTCAGTTAGTGACATACTCGTTTGTTAAACTTCATCGATTACTACATCGATTTACCGCAAATTATTTAATATCGTTTGATACTTTCATCTAAAGCCGACGCTAGCCCAGCCGTAGTTTAAGACAGATCCAGATTCCAGTATCGCCTTCAAATTGTCATTATCTAACTTTTTTGGGCGGCCACGGGGTACATTTGTGAGGTCAGAATTTCCTGAACAAAGGCGATTGAACCAATAACGCTCGGTTCGTTTGTTAGTAAATATGGGTCCATATTTACGTTATTGATATTGCGTGATATTTGAGACTTTTGCATTGTTTCCACTTTGGAAACGATTGTGCCGGTTAGACTTCGACGGAATCCTGGGCAAACTCTTCGTTGTGTACTCGTGGAAAGGGTAGACAATGACCTTCCATGGAAAGTGGCTCGAACCTTGGTCAGAACCGCCGACATCTCAGGAGTACGTGTGCTGAATCTTTGTGATCAGGAACAGATTATAGAAAAAGGCACATTGGTTGGTACTAGTGAGGAAGTGGATTGGTTGCGTCAGTGCCAATATCTGTCGACTGGGACCCCCAGCAAGGATGGACAAACTAGAGTGACCACACTTTTAGAAGACTGTCGCAGCGTTCTCTCCCCGAATGAAACGGTCAAAGCGAAGAAGTTGTTACTCAAGTACGCCAATGTTTTCTCGTCAAACGAAGCTGACATAGGAAAGACTGGCTTAGTTCAACACAAAATAAACACAGGACAAGAATTGCCTATTCGTCAGCGGCCAAGAAGATTGCCTGTAGCACGTGAAAAGGAAGTGGAAACCATGATTGAGGGAATGGTGAAGGATGGTGTTATTGAACCTTCATCTAGTCCATGGTGTTCACCTGTGGTGCTGGTAAAGAAGAAGGACGGCAGCATGCGGTTTTGTGTTGACTACCGCCGCCTGAACGACGTTACGAAGAAGGACAGCTATCCCTTGCCAAGAATTGATGACACGCTGGACATGTTTACAGGCGTAAAGTGGTTTAGTACGCTGGATCTGAAAAGTGGCTACTGGCAAGTTGAAATTGACCCTAAGGACAAGGAGAAAACTGCATTCTCCACAGGAAAGGGTCTGTGGCAATTTAAAGTCATGCCGTTTGGATTGTGCAATGCTCCAGCAACGTTTGAAAGGTTGATGGAGCTTGTACTTACCGGGCTAATTGGATATGCCTGTCTGGTCTATTTGGATGACATCATCATCGTAGGCCGTACGTTTGAGGAACACCTTCAAAACCTGGAACGCGTGCTCATGAAGATCCAGAGTGCCAACCTCAAGTTGAGTCCAAAGAAGTGCTCACTATTCAAACGGCAAGTTAGTTTTTTGGGGTATGTAGTGTCGGAAGAAGGTATCCGCACGGATCCAGAGAAAATTGCCGCTGTCAAGGAGTGGCCGGTTCCAAAAGACAAGACACAGGTTAGAGCGTTTTTGGGTTTGTGCTCTTATTATCGGCGATTTGTGAAGAACTTTGCAGATATAGCCAAACCTCTGCACAAGCTAACCGAGGAGAAGCGACATTTCTGCTGGGATGAAAGTTGCGATATTGCATTCCAGGAGCTCAAGAATCGTCTGTCCAAAACACCTATTTTGGGGTACCCTGATGCGGGCAAAGAATTCATAGTTGACACAGACGCAAGTGATATAGGACATGGCGGTGTATTGTCTCAACGGAATGGTGATCAAGAGATTGTGATAGCGTACTTCAGCAAGTCGTTGTCAAAGCCGGAAAGGAACTATTGTGTCACAAGACGGGAATTGCTTGCTGTGGTAAAGTCCTTGCAGCATTTTAGCAAATATCTCCTAGGGCGGAAATTCTACTTACGAACTGACCATGCTGCACTGAAATGGCTATTGCAGTTCAGAAATCCGGAAGGACAAGTTGCGAGATGGATTGAACTACTACGGGAATATGACTTTGTGATCGAACATCGCAGCGGGAAATCTCATGGCAATGCAGATGCATTGTCAAGAAGACCTTGCCCTGAAGATTGCAAGCATTGTACTAGACAAGAGGGTAAAGAAGTGGTATCTGCGAGGATATTCAGGACAGACCAGCTCAGCAATGAATGGAAGGACAGCCTACAACATGCACAGCATGAAGATTCGGACATTAAGCCGATTCTGGAATGGATGAAGGCCAGTGCTCCTAAGCCCAAGTGGAGCGACGTCTCAGCTATGAGTTCGACCACGAAAAGCTATTGGGCCCAATGGGACAGCTTGCTGATTCAGGATGGAGTCCTGTGCCGTAAATGGGAAAATGGTCGGGGAGACAGGTGTCATTTGCAAATGGTTGTCCCTAAGGCTAAAGTGCCGGATGTTCTACAGCTGTACCATAGTGGTTGTTCAGGAGGCCACCTGGGAGTTAAACCAACTATCCTGAAGATCCGAGAACGGTTTTACTGGGTCCACTGTCGTGACGATGTCGAGGATTGGTGCCGCAAAAGTACAAGTTGTGCGGCTGTAAAGGGACCTCAAATTCGTAGTAGAGGCGCATTGAAATTGTACAATGTTGGTGCACCATGGGAGAGGATAGCCATTGACGTTGCGGGGCCATTTCCAGAAACTGAAAGTGGTAACAAGTATTTCATGGTTGTGATGGATTACTTCACTAAGTGGCCAGAAGTCTTCGCCATTCCAAATCAAGAAGCTTCAACAATTGCAGATAAACTAGTTCATGAAGTCTTCTGTCGTTTTGGAGTACCTTTAGAGATTCACAGCGATCAAGGAAGGAATTTCGAGTCTCAAATATTCCAGGAAACTTGTAGAGTTATGGGTACTCATAAAACACGAACAACTTCTTACCACCCACAATCTGATGGAATGGTAGAACGATTTAATCAGACATTGGAAAGGTACCTGGCAAAAGTTGTGGAAAAACGGCAACGAGACTGGGACAGGCACATACAACCGTTTTTGTTGTCATATCGAAGCGCTGTTCACAAAAGTACGTCAGTGACGCCAGCTTTCGTAAACTTTGGGAGAATTGCGGCTGCCTGCAGACCTGATCACCGGAATACCACCTGATGCCCCACGCAGTATAACCGATTATGCAAATGACTTGCGGAACAAAATAAATGACATTTATGAGCACGTCAGACAGACGGGCCAGCAAACGTCTGAGAAGATGAAAACACAGTATGACCGCAAAATGAACAACAAGGGGTTTGATGAAGGTTCACTAGTGTGGTTAAACAATCCAGTTCGCAGCAAAGGGAAATCTCCTAAGCTTCAAGCTAAATGGGACGGACCGTACCGGATTGTGACAAGGATCAATGACGTAACCTACCGGATACAGAAAGGTGTCAGAGGTACTCCTAAGATTGTCCATGTGGATCGACTGGCGCGTTATTATGGGGCCAATAATGCTCGGGACGAGCATGTCTTAGGAGGGGGCAGTGTTACGCGCCACTATTAATGTCTTGTACATGGCAACACTAGTTACACTAGCGCCCTCTAGTGTCGAGTAAAAGAAAGTGTTGCGCGCCACTATTAATGTCTTGTACATGGCAACACTAGTTACACTAGCGCCCTCTAGTGTCGAGTAGCAGAACTAGGAGAGTCGAGATCCATCCAGAAATTTCGGGACCGATATGTACTCGAACATTCTAGATGTCGCTACAATGGAAGGTTCTGGAAACTGTCTGATCCCCTATATAAGGCCGGTATGGACCACGACCAGGGCAGTATTGAATTGGCGATACAAGAGAATACTTCGAAGCGTAATAACGGCGAACTGTGTTTTATTATTAGTGTGGTTTTAAGTTGTAATTAGTGTTTTGTAACTAAAATGTCAATTTTGGTAATTCAATCGGCAGTTTTTAATTGTCTCGAACCCCAAGCTTGTAACAATAGTCTAGAAACTGATAAACTGTTATTAAAAACTAACTTCTCAATTAAATGACAATGTGTAACAAAAAACTTTACCTCAGTGTCAACTAGCGACATCTAGTAGAACAATTATTAGCCCTCATTGTACCGGCTCTCTATATCTCAGAATGGAACACAACACAAGCACTGTTATTTGGCGGCAGAAATAGTTCAACCAGTACCTACCTAGAGGGACTCCTGGGCAGATCTACAGCAAACATTCATACAAGAAAAATTTAAAGAAAAAAAAAAGAGGTGGTTTTGAGAAAAGAGTAACATGCTTTTTTTGTATTTTATTACATATACATATGATTATTTGAAAATGTTCGCCCCGTCTTCGTACGTATTATTTCTAGATCTCGACAACAGCGCCACCTGGTGCAATTGTGAATCCAAACCGCCCCGAAACCCACTCAAACTCACATACTAAATTTCATCAAAATCGGTCCAGCCGTTTTCAACTTTTAGCGAGACTAACCGACAGCTATTGATTTTCTACCGACTTCAAAAAGGAGCCGGCACTCAATTCGACTGTATGTTTTTTTTTAATGTGTGAACAGATTTCGATGATTCTTCTTTTATTTGAAAGCTGTTGCTTTACATGTAGTCCCATATAAATTTGATCAAGATCTGACCAATAGTTTGAGTTATACATAATAATGTATATTGAAGTCGGTGTTACAAAATTTTTAATTTTATTATTATATAATATACAGATTATAATTTCAAGTCAAACCATAGCTATTATATACTTCGAAGTGGTCACTTCAACAAAACTAACAAAAAGACAAAAACTAACCCTTCTTTTGAGGTGGATAGGTAAAATGATGCCTACTTCTTGATACACACAATAAAAATTACACTATTAAGTTAATAAGTATTTTTGTCTGTTAAGGTAATTAAAATTATTTGAATTACATAACATGTAATGTTAACGAATTTTTTGAAAATAGTTTCTGCGTGTGTTTTGAAAGTAGAAGTAATTTTGTTGTATACCATTACTGTCATCTTTATGTTTTGTAGTTTTGAATACTATTCCATTTCGCTCTTCCTACATGAATATGGTAAAAGTTACCTTGTCCTCAGAAAAATTCTGCGTTTTAAAATTACTCTGAATCTTCTTGATTGTTTCACCTGTCACCATAACCTTCTTAAATACGCAACAGTTTGGTTCTACGACCGGCGATTGAGAACTACGTAAAAGATATGAATCTCTCTGTATCAGTTTGCTACTGCGTATGTTATTGCACTTGCCATTGCCAAGCGTAGTGATTACTGTAAATCCTGATGATAATGTTATCTTTTCCTTACCTATTTTAATCAAGTCATAGTTTTGATTTCTTATATTTTTGTACTCGTATATACGTTTAAACACAACTCATTGGTTAAAAAGAAATGTAGATAGAAGAAAACAGAAACATTAAGACAATAAAAACTGTGTTTAATGTTTCTGTTTTCGAACATCAGTAAAGAAGGAATCTAAAGGGTAAGATACCTTTTATCTTTGCGAAGGTATTGATGGTTGGTGGCTTAAATAATGTCTATGTCTGCTTTTTACTAACCAACGGGACGCTATTACCAAGCCTCCGCTGTCCGTCCGTCTGTCTGTCAGCGGGTTGTATCTCATGTTCCGTAATAGGTAGACAGTTGAAATTTTCACAGAATATGTATTCCTGTTGCCGCTATAACAACAAATAAAACAAAATAAATTAAAAATTAGAGCTGGACACCTTACTAGAAACGTTTGTGATGGTGCGGAACCCTTCATGCGCGAGTCCGACTCGCACTTTGTCGGTTTTTCTTCATTGGACGTGGGCTTCTCACGTAGGGAGAATTTGCTTGGTTTTGCAGGGTTTTATTTTAATTTTACTAGATGTCGCTTTGTCCATAGCTTGTGTTATTTATATCGCGTTGTAAAGATTTGTTTCAAATTGTACATAAGGTTTCTTTACATGGTATACGATGCTTTTTGACTCCTGCTGCTAATTGTTAGCTGAGTTTCATTTCATGAACCCTATCTCCTAGTGGCTATTTTTTACAGTGTTGGTGTCTGAAAATTCTATGATACAGTTCTCATATAATTTTTTATATAGAATAATGTGAGGAACGAACACACAGTCCACCTGATGGTTAGTGGACGCTGTGGCCCATAGACATATCTATATTTATCCTCGATCAAGAAGCAGATGCATTGTCACCCCTGAGAACTAAGATGGAATGCCTCGTAAAAACGGTCACCGGTTCTCTACACTCACCATGCGAGATACAGAAGCATTAACCTGCTATTTTACGCTGGTATTCTGTAAGAGCGTGGTCCTACCTTGGTCGAGTCTATCCATTCGTGCTACACTACTATTATGTAGCTGCAGCGTGGCTTACCACGTATGATATTCGTCTAGCTCCAATACATTTAGCTGTTTAAAACTTCTAGAGCTTTCTTCGAGGCCTGTGACGGCATCTTCACGAACTACTCCTGGTCGGTGAGTGATGTGGAAGCGAGCGCTGCAGCAGCCGGAGACCGACTGACGGACGTGTACGTTGGAATCGACGTATGGGGTCGAAACTTTTACGGCGGCGGCCAGTTCAACACGCAGGAGGTTTGGATAAATAGTTTTATTTGTATTTTTATTATTAACTATGCAAGAAATATTTTGATCTTCAGATCTTCTATTGTAAAAGTTGGCTAAAGGCAGACAAAAATCTTTTTCGGCTTGTTGAAAACGAACGGTTATGTTTCGGAACATATTCATTCATTAGAGCCTATCAAAAGTCCTTTCTGTACGTAGGCCTCTCCCATATGGCAAATCTTGCCATAGTTACCACTCTGGGTAGGCAGGTTGGCAACCATATTTTTTTATTATTATTTTGAGTTGTAATCCAGAAGATCGTGCTGCCCATCTCTCGACTTATTTCCCTCTTTCGCCTCTTACGACTTCAAAAGAATGATATGGGGTAGCGGATATTTTTACTTAAACTTTGGAAACGGAACCCTAATAACCGACCAAGTGTAGGGGAGCCCCTTTTAATTTTTAATTTATTTAAATTTTTATTATTTGTTGTTATAGCGGCAACAAAAATACACATTTTGTGAAAATTTCAACTGTCTACCTATTATGAATCGTGAGATACAGCTCACTGACAGACAGACGGACGGACGGACGGACGAACAATGAAGGCTTAGTACTAGGGTCCCGTTGGTTACCCTTTGGGTACGGAACCCTAAAAATTAGTGACGGCGTGTTAAGTCACGTGACAGACGTGTCGTTAATTTCATTCATTTTATAGTTTTCTATTAGCATAAACGACTATAGAATAATTACTTGGCTAACCCCGCAGCAATGACAACGACCGTCGTTTCTGCCACTCTGGACAACCATTTTATTGGTCTAATACAGTCCCATTTAGTAATTAATTCCCGATTACTATATTCAAGAAATGTTTCGTTTTACGTAACAATTTCGTTTTATTACATACCAGGCGCATGTAAAAACAGTTTATATTACAAACTATTGATTCAGAAACTTAGGATGACTTAAAAGACTATAAACGGTTCGTAAAAGAAAACAGAGCGTTAAATATAGAAACCCGGTATAAACCATTCTGCTCATTGCTTACGTATAATATACGTGGTAAAACCACGCTGCAGCTATGATTATACTATGGTTGTAGCACGAATGCGTCGGCTCGACCGGTGTAGGATCACGCTCTCACAGAATACCAGCGTAAAATAGCAGCTTAATGCTGCTGTGTTTCGTATCGTGAGTGTAGAGAACCGGAAACCCTTTTTACTAGAACCAAAGCATTCCATTTTAGTTCTCAGGGGCGACAACGCATCTGTATTTTGAGATTCTTCATCGAGGATAAATGTAGATGTCTATGGTCCACAGCATCCACTTACCATTAGGTCGACTGTGTGCTCGTTTATCACCCTTATTCTATAAAAGAACATACGGCTAAACCCCCACCAGTAGTGAATGATCTCGTATATTTTTGCAGGCAGTAAAAGTGGCTCACAACTACGGTTGTTCGCTGGCGATCTTCGCGCCTGCGTGGACCCACGAGGCGTTGTCCGACGATTCGTGCGACGTTAATGTGGTTGCGGACGAAGTATGTGCCACTTACGACCAGTTTTTGCTGAGGGACAGGGCGCTCTGGGGCAGTCTGTGGCCTTTCTTAAATACTAAGCTGCCTTGCATGCTGCCCTTTAGCACCTCCTTCTGTAGAGGACAGGGGCAGAAGAGAAGATTATATGGAGAGGTAAGTTTCCTTCGAATTAAAGAAATGTTTTGTAAGTAACAATATCGTGTAGTGGCGGTGTCAGAATATCCACTTTCCCCAGAGAGAAACTGAATTAGGAGTTGGGTAGCAGCATATTTCTCATATTCCTGAATAACTGCGGTTGCCAAACCGCTTGCCAAGCGTGGTAACTAAGGAAAACATCCCCCCCTATGAGCCAGTCCTTGGGGGAGGCCTTTGTTCAACAGAGGAATTTTATAAAGAGAATAGAATTAATGATAGTTACCAGTAATACCGGAATTAACCGGAGACACTTTTACTGGAAAAGAGGCATTCCATCTTAGTCCTCACGGCTGACAACGCATCTGCATTTTGATTCGCAAACGAGGATGGATGTAAATGTCTATGGGCCACAGCAACCACTTACCATCAGCTGGACTGTGTGCTCACTTGTCACCTTTATCCTATTAATAAAAAACCGTCTATTTTTCACCATATCCGCTGCTGAATATATAAGTAGGTGTGCAACAAACCAAATTCTGCAACAGTGGTTACTTCATTTTTATACGTAACAGACATATATGAGATGATGTACTCTCTGTAGCCTCTAACGCAATCGCCACACAGTCAAGTAATCGATTGCGCAGTCCATGAATATATATATAGCTAATTCCAAAAAAGGTAGGTTAATAATTCCTTGTTGCTAATAACGACTAAGTTTGTATGTCCCGTAGACTTATACGTGTCTATTTGTCTTTGCTACCTTTTTAAACGACATGCAACATTGAGTGCTCTGTTGCTTGCTAATATATAGGTAAAAGTTGGTGCCTGTCTACCAGTTGAGTAGCGTGCCTTAGAGGGGCCATGTATCAAAATTTGTCGGGGGACCCAAATGAAGGGTAAAGATTTTGCACAAAAGGAACATAAACTCTCGCATTGAATTAAAATAATTATGTATTGATTATAAGTTATTACTTACAATTAATACTTCTAGGAACTAAGTTAGCCAAACAATTCAAACCGACATCCTGTCCCATTAGAATTTTTGCTTACATACGTTCGGGGCCTCTGTAGTCCGGGGGCCCCGTATCATTGATACGGCTGATACGGCGGTAGCTACGCCCCTGCTGTCTACACAGGTTTCTAGCATTTTTTACATAATAGGGCCGACAAACGTGCACACAGTCCAACTCGATTAAAAATCAAAATGCAGATGCGTTGTCACCTCTGAGGATTAAGATAGAATGCCTCGTTTCCAGTAAAAAAGGATCTCCAGATCTCCACACTCAATATACGAAACACAGTAGAATTAAGCTGTTATTTCATCACGCTGGTATTCTGTGAGAGCGTGGTCGTTTCCCGGTCGATCCGACCCGTTTGTGCTACAACTTATGTATGGCTGCAGCATAACTCTACCACGTAAATAAGTAGATATAAAAAAAGGAGTTCAATGCTGAAATAAATAAAGTAAAAATAATCAGTAAATTATCTGCTGTTTGCTTGTACGTTATACCTATTTTATTGCAATTTTATATATTAACATTTAAGGCTGATTTTTATGTGAACAACATTGATTTAAATTATACAGCTAATGTTGCTTCCCAGGTTGTATGTCCTGGGCCATGGTACAACTTAAGACACATGCAGTATCAACCGAATTGTGCACACGGCCCACATGGATATTTGCTCTCAGTCCTCGAAAATATCATCGCAGTGTCCCGACATGGAATTCTTAACAACAAGGCCGGGATAGTCCGTTGCAGGCGGTCCCTTGAGTCGAGTAGAATGAAGATATCGACAAAGGATGATAAAGAAATTGTCAATGAACTTAAATCGGACAACCTTACGATTATTGAAGAGAACAAAACTATTATCGAAGTTGAAAACAGTCTTACTATTAAAGATAAAGTCGACAAAGAAAACCATGTGGAACAACAGCGTGTTGAACAAAAACCAGAGAAGACTAGAAAAGTATCTGACGTCTTCCGTAATCTATTCAAGATGAAATTGTCTAAAGAAGCAGAGATTCAGCCTGATGAAGAATCCGAACCTAATTTAAATAAATCTTCTACAAAATCAATGATCCAAACATCTTTCAACTTACGCTTAGGTCAAAATACTCACAAAATGCGCTTGGCTTTGATTCCCGTTCCGGAAGAATTGGAATGCTTGGAGCCGTTCTTTGAAGACAGTTTTATTGGAGGATCTTGTCTTAAAGTGAACCCATCAGATAAAATAGATACTAGCCATCGGCTGACGAGAATGTTTCACTGTAATTTCTATTTTGAGAAAGCTGTGATCGCTTGTGTTGTCACTAAGACTCTAAGAGATGTTCAACAACAATATTTAAACATTGAGCTTCGTGCAATCGATTCCATTGGGCGAGAATTAAAGATAATTTTGATCGGTACAGATAAACCCAAGGCCATTGAAACAAGCTCTTCAGAGATTTTGTATGCCTATCCGTTGAATTCAGCTTCGGATCTCGGATTTAGAGATATCCAGAAGTATATGCTGCTGAACGAGCCAGGATTCTATGTACCCGTGGAGAATTCGTATGGATGGAAAGTCAGGTTGATATTTACCTTATTATCATAATATATGTATGTATTATTAGAATTAAAACTTAAGTGATAAACGAACTAGCCGTATCCCTGCAACCGATTTCAAAGCCTATAGATAAGTTGTCACCTCTGAGAATTAAGATAGAATACCTTATGGCGCGTCTCCACCAAAGTTTTGTTGTCAAGACAACATTTGTCAACACGTGTTGCCGACAAATGTTTCTGTAATCACCTAGTTTTAGCAACAAAACGAAACAATGTTGGGAATCGTGTTTCCATTTTCGGCGGCAACATCAAAGGAATACGCGTGTTGCCGACATTTATTCCCTCGGTAGAGACACTTCTTGCAACATTTTGAAACATTTTCGGAAACAAATGTCGTCAACTTTTGTTGATTTGTCAATAGTTGGAATCATAAATGTTGTTAACATTTTTGGTGGAGACGCGCCTTTACAGTTTGTAATTATACTGGCTTTCTACACAGAGCACAGTAATGAACGCACTTATGTTTGGCGACAGAATGAGAGGACCCTGACAGAAAAAGAGCTTACAAGTAACTGCTGAACTTACTAAGCTAACGTATGAATGTTTTTATAATACTACTCGCCTATAGAATGGAGGCTTTGCTGTAATAACCACTTTTAATTATCGGTTTATATCAGATTTCTATATTTAAAAACGGGTCGTTTTCTTTAACGAGACGATTTTCAGTAAATGATGTCTTTTTTTAGGGTTCCGTACCTCAAAAGGAAAAAACGGAACCCTTATAGGATCACTTTGTTGTCCGTCTGTCTGTCTGTCTGTCTGTCAAGACCCTTTTTCTCAAGAACGCGTGGAGGTATCAAGCTGAAATTCATATTAAATACTCAAATCTACTGTCCCTTGAAGCTGTGAAAAAATCAAACTTCTAAGCCAACGCAATCAAAAGATACAGCCGTTTATGCCGCAAATTTTCCACATTCGCAAAGGAATCAAAAGCTACAGGGTACTTCCCGTGAACTCAGAATCTTAAAATTTGGTACGAAGCAACGTGTTATATCAGAGATAAAGGAAAAATTGCGAAAAGCATACATTTTTAGTTACATCATATAATAAAAATATTTTTAATAATTTTAAACTTATATACTTACGTATTTGTTCGGAACACTCGGTGCGCGCGTCCGACTCGCACTTGGCCGGTTTTATTCAAATAATCGTAATACTTTAAAGTTAAAAGTATTTTCATTTTTAGTCTCCGTAAGTAGCTGAACAAATAGTTTGTAACATAAACTGTTTTACATGCATCTCGTACCTATATAATAAAATGAATAGTTACGGAAAACGAAGCATTTCTTGAATATAGAAATCGGGCATTCATGGTAGCAATACAAGACTTCAGACACTTTTGCAATCCCTCCCGTGGATCCCATCGTCTCTCTTGGTAATTTTAGGCGATTTCAAAAAAGAAGGAGATTCTCAATTCGTATATAAATAGTATATCTTATTTTTCGAACTAAGTTCCTTATCGCACGGTACGAATTTGACGGATGGGGGCTAGGCGAGAAAAAGTGTCAGAGTATTCCGTCACGGCCCCTTCTGATGTAGTGTAGACGGCCTTGGCGGCTATATGGAAGCGAGATGGAATAATATCCATCTCCCTCGCACTTTTTCTTAACTTGCCATGAAAGAAATATTATTTTGTTTTAAATGACGCTTCATTTTAATAGACACTAGCAATTCATTTATTTGTATTTGTTAATCAATAATATAATACGTTTAGCAATAATAATATACTAAGAAATGTTTCACGACACTCACGCATGTTTTTTTTATTTCATTGTTTTGGAAAACTCAGCTAATATATCAAGTAATATATACATAAATAAGTGTGGGATGAAGGCCAATCACAACTTTTAACAAATAGAATGAAAACAGTTGATGTAAAATATTAAAAATAACAGACGCATAATATCTATCTAGTTAATGAAACAATGAGAGTATACTCTTTAGTTTACCAACAGTGTTAAACATAGTGCTCAAAACATTTGCATGACCTTTAAATTATTTTTTATATGCATTATAATTTCTTTGTTTATGATTCTTCTTTTATTAAAAATGTTATATTTCAGGGAAAAATTGGGGATAGAGTTTTTAATTTAAATATCTAGACATTTTTGATTGGCATATTCCTTAGTCCACAAGATTACGTGGAACTAATTCTTTTTTAAGTTTTTGAAGTAATTTAATTCCTTTTATAGAGTTTATTTTATATCACACACTATGTTCTAACCCTTGTTAATCTCTCCACTCTCGAGGCTTTTGTGAGGGTTTCTTTTCTTATTTTACCATAACAAGGGTCTTTCCATCATCATCAACATATACAATAGCTCCGATAGGAAAGACTTGTTGTGTCTACTAAAATAAACATGGTGGCCAGACTCTGCTTTTCCGACTTCAAAAAGGAGGAGGTAATCAATTCGACTGAATGTTATTTTTATGTGTGTTACCTCATAAATTTTTTCTAGGTGAACCGATTTCGATGATTCCCTTTTTATTTGAAAGCTATTACTTCTCCTGTAGTCCAATATAAATTTGGTCAATATCTGACCAATAGTTTTTGAGTTATCCTGAATAATTTATATTGAAGTCGGTTGTATAAAATTTTTAATTTTAAATTATTTAATATTGGAATTGTAAAAGTGTTAAGATTTTATTATTTTGGTCAGATATTACACGGTGCCATTGGAGGGCGCGCGAGTTTTGTCGGTGGACTGCCGCACGGGGTTGGAGGTCGGACCCATCCTGCTTGGTCACTTCGGACTCTGCTCTCGTTCTGAAGTGAGTACATAGAGAATTTTACATCAAATTTTTCTAGGGCTTTGTGGAGATCTACATTTTTCTGAAATAGGGAGTCACTTTTGTGTTTGTATACTTATGTTAGCCTTATTTTTTTTAAAAGGAGGGTGATGTATTTGTAGAGTATGTATGTTTGTATGTAAGTCTGTTTCTGATAGGATTGTGGCTTCACTATTTTCTCACTCTCATAGTCTTATGAGACGGCAACCAGATACGACCGGAGGGAGATCAGGCGCAGGGTCAACGGTCTTATAATACGCTTTCCGAGTCATACAAAACACCGACAAGTTGATTTCGGGTTGTTACTGAGAATTTCTTGACAAAAACCCAAAAAATCATTTTGGTCCGACCTGGGATTCGAAACCACATGACCAGCAGTTACGATCACTATACAAACGATTTTATGCGTGGTAGAGCCATGCTGCAGCTATATTAATAGTATAGTTGTAGCACGTATGGGTCGGCTCGACCGGGGAAGGACAACGCTCTCACAGAACACCAGCGTAAAATAGCAGCTTAACGCTGCTGTGTTTCGTATGGTGAGTGTAGAGAACCGGAAACATATTTTACTGGAAAAGAGGCATTCTATCTTAGTCCTCACGGCTGACAACGCATCTGCATTTTATTTCGCAAATGAAGATAGATGTAGATGTCTATGGGCCACAGCAACCACTTACCATCAGGTGGACTGTGTGCTCGTTTGTCATCCTTATTCTATAAAAAAAACGAGGTAGTTACCTACCAGCGTAGGTTGTTGATGGTGATTATTTGGAACATTTAATGCAGAGATTGGTGCTATAGTCTCACCGTTTGGTGAACGATAGTTGATAGCGACATGATATTGAATTGTTCTTGTTATGAAATATTGTTTTTACACGTGTTAGGGCACATGTTCCAGCTATATTATGGTTATAACGCGAATGGGTCGGCTCGACCGGGGAAAGACCACGCTCTCACAGAATGTCAGCGTAAGTTAGCATCTCAATGCTGCTGTGTTTCGTATGGTGAGTGCCTCTACACCTTATTCCGGTTCTCCGGTACTCCGGTTCTCTAACCGGAGACGCTTTTTACTGAATACGAGGCATTCCATCTCAGTCCTCGGGTGACGCTTCATCGGCATTTTGATGCTTAATTGAGGATACATACATGTAGGTAGATGCCTATGGGCCACAGTATCCACTTACCATCAGGTGGACTGTGTGCTCGCTTGTCACCATTATTCTATAAAAAAATATAGAATCCCTTTTGATTCTGACATAAGGCTTTTGTTTTTGCAGGAGGCAGACGTCTGAAAAAAATCTACCAGCTATAGTAGTTGTTTAACCGGAACATGTGTATGTTTTAATTAGTAAAAGAATTACACAAATAAAATGGATACAGATAAAATTAATTGCATATGTCAGTCTAATTAAAATTTATATAAAAATAATGTAATCATATATTTAGTATAATAAAATATATAACATATTCCTGTTGTATCAGTTATTGGTGTTTAAAACAGGTTTCCACGCATTGAACGTACGTAGTACACATATTGCTTCAGTGTTACTTCGTTAGTTGGCATTTTCAAAGTTCGCAAAAACAATAATTAAGAAACTTTTTTTTAATTAAAAATATTGGCAATTCAACATTACTTATAATACACCGTCATTAGGTGGAATATAAGTAAATGTTGTGTTAGACAGCTATATAACACAGAAGTCGAATGATACAATTGAAATCACGCACACACATTATTTTCTTTTATTCGGGTTCTTTTGTTATTTTTCATTGTACAAATAAATAACACGAAACAATTTATGAAATTACTTGTACAATATGTTACACGGAAAGTTGAAGTTAATTTTTAGGGTTCCGTACCCAACGGGACGGGTAACCAACCGGACCCTATTACTAAGCCCTCGCTGTCCATTTGTCTGTCAGCGGGCTGTATCTCATGATCCGTAGTAGGTAGACAGTTGAAATTTTCACAGAATGTGTATTTTTGTTGCCGCTATAACAAAAAATTAAAATAAAATAAATTAAAAATTAAAAGGGGTTGCCCTACTAGAAATGTGTATTACGATGGTACGGAACCCTTCCGACTCGCCCTTGGCCGGTTTTTAAGAATAAAATTGACCGTGCAGTGGCAGCATAAGAATTCCAACTGCCACATGTCATCCTGTGGGTGTAGTATGAGGCGACAGAGAGAAAAAGAAGTAGGAGATGGGCAGCAGTATTTTCTTAATACAATATAATAACAATTCAATAATAACTAAAAGACTGCGGTTGTCGTATGTCTCCTTTTCCATTAAAAAGCCGCCTGACAAACGTAGCAACTATAGCAAAAATTGTTGCGTTTTAATGTCACATATGTAAGTTTTAAATGAATGGCAACAAAGAAATTCCACCAAGATGTAAAAGTTAAAGTTACAGTCTGTCCCACTGCTGGGCACAGGCCTCCTCTCATTTCTGAGATGGGTGTTGGCGAACTTCACATGTCTTAGAAATATTTTCTTATTTCTCAGACATCATTTCCTCACGATCTTTTCCTTAATTTAAATTACAATTAACAATTTCATTCGTGCCGGCGGGGATCGAACCTGGGTTTCTCGCGTATTGCGAAATTTACAGCGAGCGTTTAGCCCATGAGCTACCACGGCGCTCTCACCAATATTACGTAGTACTATTATTTATTCTGTGTCAAGATGTAGTTGACACTTGAAATGTTTAGGTACTTGACCATGGAGCCCAAAGTTTGGACTTCAAACACAGGCCTAGACCTTACATTGCTTTGTAGAAGGGATATTAGCGATGGTTGCAATGTTTGTCAGGCGGGTTGGCACTTGGCATCCGCGCTAGTTTTTTATTATTTTGAGTTGTTTTTAAGCAGATGCTGTTGCCTATCTACTGTTACATGTCTCTCTGTCGCCTTTTACGACACCCACGGGATATTAAGGAATATGTTCTTTGACGCCGTCAGTATGCGACGAGATATACTTAGACATAGTTTTCCATAAAGAGATGTGGACGATAGTGAATTTCTTCACGGGATAATTGTAACGTCTATGGTTTTATTTTAAATTTAAAAATGTAAGATTATAACGTCTATTATTCTAAATTTAAATATCTAAAAAAATATAAATTGACCATATGTACGAATTTAGTTTATAAAAAATTACGCGGCCTTAAATTCTGCATGCTATCAGTCGTCGAGCTATACATTCATTTCCATGCCCTTGTTTTCAATGTGTACTTGATATTACACTACATTGAAAATGTAACGCGATGCTAAAGTGTTACATCGCGTAATTTATCTTAAACTTGATGGTATATTTGTTTTTCGTTTTTTTTTAAAATTTAGAACGTTTACGTTTTTACCGAAATTCTTTAGCTCCATATTATATTCAAGGCCACATCGTTTTACAATATGAGGATTGGCTGTCATTATATAAATACAAATAAATTAATAAATAATCGAAGTCGTTTTTGGTAATTGATTAAATATAAACTAACTTCCCATCGGGAAGCTAGAGGCTTGAAATTTTGAACATAGCTCCGAATCGGATGAAAATGCACGAATATGAAAAATCTTAATAATATATTAAAATAATAATTTTTAAAATTTCATTTGCTTATATTGTGGGTGACATAAAGTGAGCAACTAACACCTTCCTATATTATGATGCCCACAAAATTATGTAACAATATACAGGGTTATATAATATAATAACCCGCAAATATTGCAGAGTTTCAGAATAAGTAATATAGGCAAATGATGATGAAAAATTAATTTAAAAAACCTCCGTTATTCTGTCCTTTTTATCTTTTAAATTCAAAATGCATGGTAATGTATTATTTTGACTGATTTTACTGCACACATTCGTGTGGGTCGATCAGTAGGCAAAAACGTTGTTGCCCATAAATCACATTCAATTTGTAATAATTTCAAATAAAAGTAAAATCCTTATTTACTCGTATTTTCTAAAAATGTAATAACGGTACATCATTATTTATTTTTAGTATTAGTAAATTTAAAATTTGACTACTCTTTGAAAAATAACCTGTGTATAATATTCGTAGTGGCAGTGTGATGTGATATTACATCGCCGTGTCTTGTTCCACCGGTGTTTTAAAATTTGACCTGTCAAAGAATACAAGCATAAAATAGCGACTTAGAGAACCGGAGACCCCTTTTTACTGGAAAAGAGGCATTCGTGTTAGTTAGTCCTCACGGGTGACAACGCATGTCTATGGGTCACAGCAACCACTTACCATCAGGTGGACTGTGTGCCCGTTTGTCACCCTATCCTATAAAAAAAGGATCAAAAGTCGGACTTAATGCTTAACACGGCTAAAATCATTCTTTGCCAGTCAACCTTAGGGCAGTGACACTATGAAGGCAGTTACAGAGACCGTAAAAATATTATAAATAATAAACATAAAAATAGAATACACACATATATAGTTAGTATTACCATAGGTATTCACCACTGGGTAGGTGCGAGTTTTTAAATAATTATATAGGACAAAAGTGAGGACATGATGGAATCTATGGATCTCAAAACCCTAATTTGTGGCCATCAGTGAGGGAGGTCTGTGTTAAGCTGTGGACTTGTGATAGACAGCAACTATGATGATGATAGGATAACTACAAAAGCAAACGATCTTACCAAGTCACCTATATAATCATGTGCAAATTTGCAGCAAGTTACGCGAGAATGCGGAATACAGATAAAGATTATTCCATTGTTTTATGTCGAGTACTCAAGATTGCATTGATGGTGATAATACGATAGCGTCCGCCACAGATAACGATACGCAGGATGCCATTTTTATTTTACTGTAGCCACGGAATACTTAATTGTAGAAAGTATTGTTGCGTAGTGTTGTGGCCAAATGTTATCAAGTATTAAACAGTGGTAATTTGAAATTGGAATTCGGTGGTGTTAAAAAAGGTAAGAATAGTAGTTGATTTTATAAATATTTAGTCAGAAGTAATAACTAGTTATAGT